GGGGGTATGGAGTTTAAGGATTTAAAACATATGTTTGACATGTACAAAAAATATACGTATGCCATTAGTTTTCCAGTTAAGAAAATAAATTTGCAAATGGGAGACGATGGAGAGTTGAGACATATGACATGTCATATGACATTGACATGTAGCTGTGAAAGTTGAAGAATCAGTAATACTAGCGGATCTTTGAAGTCATAACCAACAAAACAGATGGGTTGTAAAGCCAAAATCTTTACTTATACAAATATTTTTAGAGCTTGGAGGATTAATATGGCCTATCTCGACCACAATCATGAAAATAGTCCTTCAAAGTCCAGGTTATTTTGATGCAACAGAGAATTAAGTGCACATGTGAAACGCAAGCTAAAAGTTAATGATTTAACAGGAATTTTGTTGCATGAAAAGTTACAATTTTGCAGTTGTAGCAGCAGGTGGTTATGAGAAAATGAGTTGCATGGAAACGGATTGTCGAAATTACGTTGACAAAATGAGACGATTAAGACTTGAAAAAGGAGATGCCGTAGTAATACAATCATACTTTTCAAAAATGCAAGCAAAGTGCTCGAAATTTTTGTTTAGTATGGATTTGGACGACAATTTGCTGCTGAAAAACGTATTTTGGATAGATAATCACTGTAGGCAAGCGTATAAGGAGTTTGACGATATTGTTTCATTTTATATCCCTTAACTCACAAACAAGTATGCCATGCCTTTCACCCTTTTGTTGGTGTCAATTATTACGGACAATCAACACTGCTTGGTTGTGGTTTGGTATCAAACGAAGACACGAACACTTTTGTGTGGTTGTTCAGAACATGGTTTCAGTATATACATGATCAAGCACCGCATAGAATAATTACTGATTAAGATAGGACAATGTAAAATTCAATTTAGATTGTTTTTTGCAAAAACAATGCATAGATGGTGTTTCTGGCACACTCTGAAAACGTTGCCTGAGAAGTTTGGATACCACGATAATAAGGTATCGATATTTGGGTCAATATACGGATTGTTTTATAATTTAAAGTTTGTTCAAGAATTTGAAGAAGCTTGGGCTGCAATGAGTGATACTTATGGCTTGGAGGATAATGATTAGTTGTCCGGACTATATCAGAACATAGGTCATTGGGTTCCTTATTTGTTGAAGACTAGTTTCTGGGTAAAGATGTCAACAACACAAAGAAGTGAGAGTATGGAAACATTTCTCGATGGGTATGTGCATTATAAGATCTTATTGAAGCAGTTCGTCAAACAATATGAAGAGAAGGAGTTCCAAACTGATTTCAAGTCATTTTCATAAGTGTTATTGTGTGCCACACAATATGAAATAGAGCAGTAGTTTCAATCAGTTTATCATATTTCAAAATTCAAGGAAGCTCGGGTTGAGTTCATAAGGAACGTTTACTACGACCTCATATCTAGTTTGGAGGGAAACTAGGGGATGATGTACGTGGTACGAAAGAATGTTATGTGTGATGGGCGACAGAAGAAGAAAACATTTCCGTCTCATTCGATAGACATAATTGTAATATTGTTTGCAATTGTCCCTTGTTTGAGTTTCGGAGAATAATTTGTCGGCATGTAATTGCAGTATTGATTCGTTGTGACGTCACATTACTTTTGGAGAAGTATATACTGCTAAGATGGAGAAAAAACATTAGTAATGCACAAGCGATAGTCGCAGTGAACTATGATGATTTGGTTAGTTTTCTTAAGCAGTTGAGATACGACGACATGTGTCGAACTTTTGCGTAAGTGGCAGCCGTGCCGTAGATGATGAATGTTGATCACTTGTAATTATGGATTGGATAAAACTTAAATGTAAAGATCCTCTGATGTCCAAAAAGTAGTGTAGTGGAAGCAATGTCATATCACAACATACTATTCAACTAGCTGATTAGTTCACTGATTCTCAAAATAATGCTAGCATGATCATACGTGATCCAAACTCGTAGAGCACAAACCCAACAATAGCTTGTGCTGACATCGATCACATATTTACAGTACTCCATGCCGACAACATTCAACCACAGTATTCCATTGACACCATTCTTCCTTGCAAGAGGATTATCATCTTCAGATTTTCTCCCTCCTTCATCAGCAAACGTTATATATAAATCGCAAGGTCAAGTAATGTCATACTACTATTCGCATTTATTGAACCAAGGTGGCTTAGGCAAGTGATGTTAATTTATGCTTGAACTTCATTATTGTCTATCCATGCAAAGAATAGAAGGTTCACAAGAAGGTTAATTTCATTTTCAGCACCAATGGCACGGAAGAGTGCATCAACTTTCTATAATACTTTTCTCATTTTTTGGATAATGTATGAAGCTATGGCTTATGTTACAGTATATAATTTGGGTTGTAATCCTCTTTTTGGCATAAAAACTTCAGTTTTTTTTAGAATTGTTTGATTGTTTTTAAGAACTTGTGGCTTTGGACATATTCAATGGTGATTTTTTTATTATTATCGACTTTTTGTTGCTATGAACTGTGATCTGTCAAAGATGTGTGAGGCTAACAACTCTGAAGGGTTGTAATAAAGTTATTTTTTGAATGCTTGGAGGAGAACTATTTACTCCAATTTAAAATGATCATTTTAATAATCATATGAAGGAAAAATAAACATATGCTATCTTAAAAAGGCTCCAAAAGATGCAATGCAACCCATTCACATTCAAATAGTTTAGAAACGAATTTCACATAGATCCGATCATAATAATCCTACATATACGAAAGTTCATGGTCATAACTACTAATCAAGTCAACGTCGTCCCTTGTGCATTTCATTTCGCTCTACACTTTGCCTTGCATATTGTCACGTTCATCGAAACCTGAAGGTTCATCGTCAAGGTGAATGCAAAACTAGAACATGTGTGACATATCGTCAACTCTTTTGTTCGTCGCATGGTTAATTGAGAAAGTCCTACCGCAAGAGGATTGACCGCTTGATTTTTCTTTGACAACTCAGCCCCAAAAACCACAATTGTCACTACAGCAAAGAAATAATAGACCTTTATTGGCAGTCTCCTTCTCGACAACGAAACACTTCTCAAATCCATGCTTGCAGGATGGACATCGACGTTTTCGTGGGCATTCGACAAAGAAGTGGCTCTTAGATCTACAACTATGACATATACCATTATACGATGAGAATAAACCACGGAGCAATGTCAACTCGATTCAATATAAAAATTCACGCAATCACAGGGAAATAAATTTCTATTCAAAGAGAGAAACACAGAGCAACAATCAAAATTATCATATGAAATGCGAAGTAGACAAACATAAACGAAATATATTTCCATTATGATTGAAGATAAAAAATAACCCTGCATTCCATAAAAAATGACACCTTCACAAGATTCGTAATTCTTATACTTCCATTGTAAGAAACAAAACAATATGGTGCATTAGAATATAAGGCCTCAAATGATTAAAAAGAACATGGGCTGGAGAAATGCATAACAAGCTTTCTGGAGGAAGTCAGGCAATGGAGTATAATATTTATTTGCTCCACAATTTAATTTCATTTTTTCTGCGTCAACTAGGTCTCGAAAGGCTAAAATTCTCCAACAAAAATGACAAAATTTCAGGGGGGGTGTTTCATAGTCATTTTTATGTAAAAAATACATTTTAGAATATTAAGGCCCCGTTTGGTACCCATTTTTTTCAAAATGCATTTTTTTCTCTCTTATTTTAAACCAGACTTTTTTATTAAAACAATATTACACATAAATAAATAAAAATTTCTCATTTTTCAATCACACATTTCACATCATTTTACTATTCAAAAATGCATTTTCACCTAAAAATGTCTCCCCAAACACCCTCTAAATTGATGTGAAATGTGTAGTTGAAAAATAAAGAAAAGTTTCGATTTACGTGTAATATTATTTTAATAAAGAATGTGTGATTGAAAAGAAGATAGAGAAAAATGTATTTTGAATAAAAATACTACCAAACGGGGCCTCAATCATTTAGGTCAATAACATTTGAACAAATTGTATTCAAAAACTTGTGAAATGGAAGCGAGTTCCCTTTCTACTTGTGCAAAGTATAGAAGTGAAAATTGACACGAGTGAGAGAAATTTGGTGCTGATTTAACTATTGATCAGAGATGGCCGAAGTGTGGGGCAGTGAAACCATAGATGGAAGAGTAGTCGGAGCGGAGGCAAAAATTTTGAGTGAAGTATAATCGAAGATCCAAAATCATAAAGTGGCGGAATAGTAGATGGAAGTGCTACAGGAGGAATGGTGACACCTTCGATAGATGTGCAGCTGGAGATGGTGAGATGTGAGAAGAGGTCTTTTCTTTTTTTCTTTTTATTTAAAAGCCACGTAAGCCGGAAAATAGCATGTAAATGGACTCGTCTGCCTAGCGAAATTGAAAAATCAATATCAAAATAATACGTCTCACAATATCCACACACGTACTAATATATGCGAATCATCGCCACTTATGATGACATCAGGCAATCGCGACAAACAACCTCTATTTGTGTCATTTTTGACTGTATGTACACACAATTACATCATTTATAGGTATTTATATCACATAATTTAATGAATTATTGGTCAACCACTTAACTGTTATTGTCACAAAATCTTGAATCTAATATAATTATTGATCTTAATTATATAAATGTTTGATAAAGTTTAAATTATAATTTAAATGCCTGTTTGAACCACATTATTTCAAAAAAAAATATTTTTAAATAGTGATTTGACATCATTATAACCACACGTTTTTCAATAAAATAATATTACACGCAGATAAAAAACTTTTTCTTATTTTTTAACCACACATTTTTTATCAATACACTATTTAAGAATGTATTATTACCAAAATAATGTGGCTCATACACCCCTAAGATAGTAAAATATATTTTTGTCCACCTATTACTTGTTATTCGCTACTTTTTGTTTACATATTTTGCATAATTTACTGTTTAAATTTTAATTTAATCACTACTAACCAATACATTACAAAAGTAGCTTGCAACGAAAGCCAGACAAAAGAGAGTGGCAAGTGTCCTCGCTTTGGACAGTATCCTTGGATTACATCGCCGAGGTCTACTACTCCGTCAATTTCGTCCCGCATTCGTGTTCGATCAACCCACGCCCACCAACGATCACCTCAAAACCCACTTCGTAAATTCCTAAATTCTTTGCATATACACACGCACAACATCTAAAATTTAAGATTTCTTGAAAATGGGCAGTCAAATTAGCAGGACAACTGGGCAAAATGGTAGCCGCCGCCGCCAACCGCCACCCGAGGAGCCACCAGCGCGATCGACTTCCAGCTCTGACACAGATGTGACACCGGAGGGATCCACCAGCCACCGCCATAATATACCACTGGTGCCACCAGCTCGAACGACCTCCAATTCCAACACAGAGGCGACTCCGGAGGAAGCTGATCTGAGCTCCTATGAAGCTGCGTGCGAAGTCGATCCCGACCTCCGGACCTTCGACTCGACTCTCCAAGTTCGCACAAGCCGAGCCATCAACTCCATAGCCGTCGACTTAGAGGTTCGCTCCCTGTCCCTTGACTCCCTCCGGGAAGTCACCGAATGCCTTCTAGAAATGAACCAAGAAGTGGTTCAAATTATTCTTCAAAACAAAGAAGACATCTGGAAAAATAAAGAACTCTCGGATCTGGTCGATGATTATTTCGAAAATAGTCTTCAAATGTTAGATTTTTGTACTGCTCTCGATTCGTGTCTTCAGCGAGCCGGGCATATCGAGTCTATAATCAATGTAGCCCTCCGAGTATTTGAGGAAGAACATTACAATATTCCTGGAGAGGGGGGCGTGAAAAGTTATTCAAGAACTTTGGAGGAATTGAGGAATTTAAAAGGTGCGGGCCGCCCCTTCACAGAGGAGTTCTTTAAAATGTTCACCACGGTTTATAGCCAGCAAAATTCGATGTTAGAGAAATTGAAAGCAAAAAAGAAACAGCTTGACAAGAAGTTGGGGAGAACGAAGACGTGGAGGAGGGTATCCAATGTAATATTCGGGGTGATATTTGTCTCCGTTTTGATATGCTCGGTGGTGGCAGTCGCAGTTATTGCCCCGCCTGTAGTGACAGCTCTGGCAGCAGCAGCAGTAGCCATGCCTTTAGTGTCGATGGGGAAATGGCTTAATACGATTTGGAAGAAGTGCGAGAAGGAAGTAAGGGGACAAAGGGAGATAATTACTTCAATGTGGATTGGAAGTAACATTGTGATTAAGGAATTAGATAGCATAAGGGTGCTTATTGACCAGCTTCAGATAAAAATAGAGGCTTTTTTGGGGAATGCAGATTTTGCATTGGGACAGGATGGCGCGGTGGTTATTGCAGTGGTGGAGATTAGGAAGAAAGTGAACGACTTTACGAAGACAATTCAAGATTTGAGTAAGCACGCGGATAAATGTACCCGAGACACAAAGATGGCAAGGGCTGTAATACTGCGGAGGATCATAAATCACATTGGCAGCTCGAATCAGGACTTTGGTATGTTTTCCTAATGACTAAGTTCCATGTTGCTGATTTAGTTTGAGTTACATATAGTAATAGAAATCGTGCACCTGGGTCGATTTCTTGTATTTGTATCGTTATGACAACAAAAATTGCTTATTATTAGGCTATCTTATTTGGTATATACATGATATTTCTTATTTCTTATATATGATAGAGTTAAAGAATGCATATTCCTTAGTTCGAGAGTTACTTGCTAGTATATTATGAGGCATTTCAGAGTGTTTATATATTGTTGTTAAATAGTATTGTGGATCAGCAAAATGGAAAAGGAGAAGGAACTAGGAAAAGGAATTGTTCGCAAGTACCCGTCTTACGATCTTTCTCAGCGAACTTTTTTATGGATCAGACCAATTTTTCTTTTCTTGACACATTTTGAATGATGTAAAAATTATAGATGGTGTGGTGTTAGTAATTCTGCTTAAAAAACTTGAGAATTTAGGTGAAAATACAAGCAACTGCTGGATAGCAATGTTAATGTTCTTTTAAAATTTCATTTCAGTAAAGCATATTTTTGTCAGATGGAAATTGTGTTGTGAGAATATGCAGATAGTGAATTAATAACAGTGAAAGTAGTTGCACAGCAGAAACTATTAAGAGATGAAAGGTAGTTCACAGTCAGCGGTAACGGTGTAATGCAGCCCCTCTTTAATTTGGCTAAAAATCAAATTTTTAATAAATTTTGATAAAAACTGATAAATTCTGTGATTGAAAAGTTGATAAAAGTTGTGGGTTCCTTGCAATGTGTCGTAGAAAATGAGGGTTCAGTAAAAGATCTTGAAGCTTAACTGACACTGTGAGTAGAAAGTATGAATTGCCTTGTCATTCTTGTTAGATCCTGATCCCCTTCTTAAAAAAGAAGAAAAAATAGACATGATTTTTCCATCTGGTTCACAATCTAGACCACTGATTTCAGCGAATCAACTGTTTCACAAGTTAGATGTTGATATGATATTTTTTCAATTTTTAAAATATCTTTTGAATTTTCAAAATCATTGTCAAACAGGCCAAGAGTATCTTTATATCTAATGAGGAGTTCTTGCATTCTATTAGCACAATTATTTTGTTGATGGGTTTGGAGAGGTAGTATACATGAAATAAAGAACAGCAACCTCGAAGGTGAATTTTAATTCATTTCAACAATGATAAAGTGACCTTAAACTTTGTTAATTATTGACTCATCAATGTAGAAATAATTATTTTGGATTCATATTTTCGACCACTCATGTTATTTAAAAATTTAAACAATCTTTTTTCATAGGTCGAGTTTATTATTTTGAAAAATTGCAGCAGGGTCCATAACTATTGCAAGTTTCCCACTAACGGGTACGTAAAGAACAACAACAATAAAAAATAAAAAATAAAAAGGAAACGTTTCTAATGAACAACCGTTCAAAAATCCAATCCAGACCGGTCCAATAAAAAAGACATCGATTTCACAACGAACCGGTCTGTCTAGTCTTATAAAAGTATGAACAAGTTTTCCTGTATTTTAACCTGAAGAAATTGAAAATAAAATTTGCCGAAAGATCAATTTTAGCACTACATTTTACCTCCATAAGGAAAAAAAAAAAAAAAAAAAAAAAAAAATTCACAAATCTCAAATATCCTTGTCTTTAACCAGCTTCTCCGCCTTCTCAGCTTCTTTCACGGCAGCGCCGCCGCAGCCACTGGGTTTTCTATTCCGAATATGCATTTTCACATAGAAATTCAAGAAGAGAAGAAGAATGGCACCATTAAGCACTGAATTGAAACCCCAAGCTCCAATTCCATTGCACCCACCTTTGATTAAATGCAGCAAAAGCACCCCAATATGGCACACAAGATTGCAACCCAACAACACCATTTGGCAATTCACGACGAACGGGAAGCACGCACTCGGCAGCCCAATCGCCGTCCAGAACCGGTACCCATAAACCACAGAGTAAACGAGCGTCGTGAGGAGAATCGCAAGAACTTGGAGAGATTGTGAAAATTCCAGCCACAAAAATGAAGTGAAGATCACTATAGAATTGTTGAACAACTTGAAGAATGAGAGTTTTCGGCCGCGAATAATAGTGAAAAATGTACGCAGCGCGTGTAGGAACCGGGAGAGATAATAAATGTATGACCAGAAGAAGACCCGGCCGGAGGGGCGGATGCCGAGGGGGAAGCATAGGAGCCACTGAAAAGGGGTGGTGCGGGTCCGTCGCCAGGACCACCGTGTGTCACGAATTTCCGCGGCGGTGGAGAGGAGGATGCCGGCGAAGATGGTGATGGAGATTAGAGCCATGCAGAGGGAGTGCACGGCGGGGAGAGGGCCAAGAGGGAGCGGGCGGCGGTGGCGGAAGACGGCAAGAAGGAGGAGGTGGAGGAACACGGAGACGGCCACATAGGCGGCGATGGAGTTGAAAAGAAAGAACCAAGTGGAGCCCCACGATTGGGCATGGCTCCACCGGAAGCCGACGATTGATGGGTGCTCGGAAAGGTTATACCTTAGGTTATCAATCACCATCATCGGCTTTGCTCGGCGGCGATCATTGGCCGAATCGGAATTCTCGTCGTTGACTTGACGAGAACGTTATGGACCCCACAAAGAAAACTATTCGTGAATGATTGGTTTTTTGAGGTTTTGGCGAAATTTAGGTTAGAATGTGAGGTAACTGCGAAGGGGTTGAAATATTAGAATTTGTGTATTACAATCCGAATTCAACTGCGATATATCATTGGATTGGAGATATTTTATGTTCCCACTAGAAAACAAATGTTCCACGCGTAATCCAAATTGTTATAAGAGTCAGATTTTTCTCGTCAAATTAAAATTTAAATTTTAATTCAAATTAAATTCACTTGATTTTAATCACACATTGTTTAAAATCCACATATTTTATCAAAATCTATTAAAAAATTGATTTTAATTTACAAGGACTTTGAGCCTGTTTGGTGCAGATTTGAAAATCAATTTTTTGATCGTTAATTTGAAAGGTGGGTCTCACCTAGAAGTGAAGAGGTCAAAAAAGACAAATGACCAATAAAAAAATTGATTTTTTTGACTTAAAATATCTGCACCCAACAGGTGCTTAATAATAAAATCGACGAAAGTTTTCTTTCTATATATATAGTTGTGTTATTTGATTGAGCCGGGTTTACTTTGTTTGGTATGTGCTCGTTTTGGGACTTGGCTTGTGAAGTGTGAACCTCTTGTCCCATTATGTTACTTTTTAAAAAAAAAATTCTTTGAAAATTTAATTTTTTCCACCTGGCTAATAAGCCATGAGTTAACCCGTGGAAATTGGGGAGTGACTTGTTAAAATGCCAACTTGAATCGTCCCACTACTCGTCTTGAGAGTGAACTAAACTGGCTCGCTTTTGGGACAACGAGTGACTTATCCTGTTTGACATCCCTACATGTAAGTTACACAAACAAAAAGAAAAAAAGAAGAGTCTAATTATTTTATAAGTTATTTATTCTGTATCAATAAGCAAAAATGGAATTGGTGAAACCAGTTTGCTAAAATTTTTATTACTCATATATTGATAAAAATCAATTCCTCGAATTCAGAGTCGAAGACTCTCAATATGACTAACTATTGTTTTTTGATATATTATTAAATTTAATTTCTATAATTTTAAAATGAGACAAATCATCTAGTTTTATAATATTTTGCTCACCCTCACGAACTATTCTTAGCTATGGCATCAATGATCAATTTCCAAAGATTAACCAAAAGTATTAATAACGATTAGCAATATTTCCTTCTTCTTCTTCTTCTTCTTCTTTTCGTTTTTGGTTCTTTCTTTCTTTTGACTTCAAATTTTGTTTAAACTTGTTGAATAAAAATATTATTAGACAAGAGAATTGACAAATTTTATATCACATTCTCATGTTTTCTTCTTTAATTACTTACAATTTTATATATTCAGTATAGAAAAGTGTAAAGCGTAAATCGTGTTTCTAAAAAATGCTACTCTTTTAATTTTCTAATCTAGTTGGAAGGCCACATGACAACCCCGGATTAGCTCTAATGTGTTCACTTGGACTGTGCTTCTTTGTGAGGCTATTGGACCATTGGATTCAACTTACGGATGAAATTAATCTACCCCACTATGAGACTTTTGGGGAGCTGGACGGTTGAGGCCACTTCAATTTTTCTTAGTCTCTAGATTTTTCAAGGCTCTCTCTTATGGACTCTCAGTTTTCTTTTTATGGTTTTTTTGATCTTTGATTTCTTATGAGTTGTCTAGCTAGAATATTGGTTGAATATGTGTGATTCATGTTGTTACAATAATCAAGCCTGAAATAGTAGTTGATTTGGTGTCGGTAGTGATTGTCAAAAAATCTTGTTCGTGTTTTTTATTAGGTCTTGATATTTAAGAGATTCATGTGTGGATTGATAACTATTTCTGGGTCTGATTGAGTTTTCCAGAACTGTTCTCTCTTTTTGGACGATTTTCGAGTGCTTAGTAATCATGCTAATCTTTGAGCCCCCTAGATAAGGCGATTGTCGAATTGGATGAACAATTTTATGGTGTTCTTTTTACATTTTCTTGCACTTTGGTTGTTTTATTTTGATGTCTTTTATTAATTATGTGAGAAAAAAACCCTATCAACTAGTATTAGAGCCTTCGAGCTCTCTGGGGGTGCAACAAAAATCTTTGGGTTAATTTTTTCTTGGCTTGGCTTCTTTTTCTGGGGTGCAAGGTTTTTTTGAACAAAACACTGGGGTTTCTTTTAGATTGTTTTCTTTTAATAAATTGAAATATCTAATACTTGTCTCTTTTGTGTTGTTGTTTAGAAGCGAAAACTTGGTGAAAGGTAGTGAATCAACCACGGTTTACTCCCAGTAGAGGAAGAGTTTCCTGCCCTCGGGTTGAGACTAGCTTAGTGTTCTTGTTACTGTAAAGGTAGTATATCGTGAGAACGTTTTAATTTTCACGCTTCAGTAGAGTAATTTCAGTTCTTGATATTTGATATGAGATATATGCATGTGACACATGTTTATAAGTTTGTATCGCTACTGTGATTGGAATTGTATATTTCTATCATTATGAGTATAGTGTTTAGTTAAGTTTTTTATATAACTTGGTGCAATTACTTGATTATAAGCATAACTCACTCTATATCAAATATTATTGCCTTTTATTTCAGGTTGGTACGCATATATCTGCTTAAATTCTTGAATTTTTTTCAAAACCTTTATTGCTCACTAGTTAATCTTTTTAATTCAAGATTAAATTATGTCCATGAGTATAGGCCACCCTTTTACTGAACACATAATGGGTTCGAAGGTCGAATGTTTTAATTAGATAGAAATGGGGATTACTCAATATGAAAGAAGAAAATGAGAACCATTCTGGTTCAACAGAGGGTCGCTAAGGCCCTTAATAATCCTGAAACTTCTTCTGCTAAACTTAAGGCAATACCAAATGAAATTGAAGATATGAATAAAATTGCTTATAGTTCCATAATTTTACATCTGTCTGATAACATTGTAAGACAAGTTGATGAAGCCAAAATTGCTAGAGTCCTATGGACTGCCCATATTGCTATGTTTTTAACTAAAACACTACCAAATAAAATTTATTTCTTGGCAAACCTGTTTAGCTTTAGGATGGACCCGGGGAAGGATTTAGAGGTAAACTTGAGTAAATTTAGTATCATTGTGAAAAGCCTTGCACATAATGAGAAGAAATTTGATGACAAAGACCTTGCTGTAATCCTGTTAAATTCATTACCTAACTTATATAAAGATGTCAAAAATGCAATAAGACATTCAAGGGATAAACTAACTCAGGCTATAGTCATTGATGCTTTGAGATATAGGGAGTTAGAAGTTAAAAAGGAAACTAAATCTAATCTTAGAGATGAGAGTATGTTTTAAAGAGGAAGACCTGAAAAAAGAGAAAATAATTTTCCCACAAAGAAGGGAAAAGGGAAATTCAAGAGCAGATCAAAATCTAGAGATAAAAGCAACAAAAAGTGCTACAATTGTGAAAAATTGGGACACTTTAAAAGGGATTGTTTTGAACGAAAAAGGAAACAAAGAGATCTGAATAATCACGAGCTAAATAATAACACTAGGGAAGCTAGAGTTGACAGTCTCTATGTTTTGATTGTATCTAGTGAGGAAGTTAATAAAGATTGAATACTAGACTTAGGGTGTACCTTTCACATGTGTCCTATAAAAGACTAGTTCTATAACCATAAATAAAGAGAATATAGGAAAGTGTACATCGGGGATAATAATTCACAGACTATTGTTGGAATTGGAGATATTGCCTTAAAAATGCATGATGGCGCTGTTAGGCCAATCTTAAATGTAAGATATGTTCCTAATCTAAAAAGAAACCTAATAACCTTAGGAATTCTTAAAGATAAAGGACATACATTCAAGTCTGACAACAAAGTATTAAAAATAATGAAAGGTTCTCTAATTGTGTCGAAGGACCAAAAAGAAATGAGTTGTACTACCTTGAAGGCAAAACTATTACTATTCCCGATTTCAATATTCTCGCTATTACTGAGAATAAAACTGAATTGTGGCATAAGAGAATGTGACATATTGGGAATAAAGGGTTAAAATCTTTAAGTAATCAAAAGTTGTTTGGGAAAAAATTAGTTGAAATATTGGAGTTTTGTGAAACTTGTGTTCTTAGAAAATCTCACAGGGTGAGCTTTGAAATAGGTTCACATGTTACCAAGAAGCCCTTAGACTATGTCCATGTTGACTTATGGGAGCCTAAAAGTCACTCCACTTTTGTAAACAACAGATATTTCTTATTTATTGTTGATGACTATTCCAGAAAAGTGTGAGTCTTTCCTTTAAAAGCTAAGTTGGACACCTTTCAAAAATTCAAAATATGGTTAAAAATGGTTGAAAACCAACTAGATAAAAAATTAAAAACCTTAAAGATAGATAATGGTCTTGAATTCTGTAATTCTGAATTTGAAAATTTTTGTAAACATAAAGGTATCTTGAGACATAGGACTGTCAATAACATTTCCCAACAAAATGGGGTGACAGAAAGAATGAACATGACCTTGCTTAATCAGGTCGACGCATGCCGATCAATTCAGGATTGGCAAAATGGGTTCTGGGCTGAAGCAATGTGTACAGCTGTATATTTGATTAACAGATCACATTCTAGTTTCATTGGATTTAAAACACCCTAAGAATTATGGTCTGACAAAAAAACAAATCTCTCTAATATCAGGTATTTGGGTATGCTGCATATGCACATCAAGTTGAAGGAAAATTAGACCCTAGGGCAACAAAATATATCATGTTGGGTTACCCTGAAGGTGTAAAAGGTTACAAACTATAGGTATTAGGGATACAAGGTAGAAAGATCATTAACAGTAGAAATCTGAAGTTTAATGAATCTGAGATGTCATGTTTAAAACTCAAATCTAATACTTCTATTGAACCAGATAACAACCTAACTAAAAATGAGGTAAAGCTGGCCAAATTAGGCAATACTCAACTTGACAATATTGGAACTAACATTCCCACACTTCAAGAAGAAGAAAGGGAACCTAATGAAGGTGAAGTTGGAGAAATCCAACCTCAAACACAAATTGAATCTGAAAATTGGTTTGACCCTATCGACGATACCTCTCTTCAGGACTATCAACTAGTAAGGGATAGGGAAAGAAGGCAGGTTAAGCCCAACCTTAGATATGAATCATGAAGCCTTACAGATTTTGCCATAGTTTTTGGTGAAAGTATAGAACAATTTGAACCTGCTTCTTATGAAGAAGCAGACAGAGAACCAAAATCTGGGAATTAGAAGAGGGCTATGGAAGAAGAAATGCAATCTCTAAATGAAAACAAGACTTGGAAACTAGTTGCAAAACCTAACAATCATAGGATTGTCCAATATAAGTGGATTCACAAATTAAAGGAGGCGAACAATCCTACTGATCCTTTAGGTACAAGGCTAGACTTGTAGCCAAACAATGAAATATTTTCACCTATAATAAAATATAAGACTATTAGGCTGATCCTAGCATTAGTGGCTCATTTTAATTGGGAGCTTGAACAAATGGATGTTAGGACAGCCTTCTTATATGGTGAACTAGATGAAGATATTTACATGGTTCAACCTTAAGGCTTTGAGGTGAAAGGTAAAACTGACTATGTGTGTAAGTTGTAAAAATCACTGTATAGACTTAAACAAAGTCCCAAGCAGTGGTATAAAAGGTTTGATTCATATGTTATCAAAATTGGTTTTAAAAGAAGTGAGTATGATGCTTGCCTGTATTATAATAGTGCTAAGAGTGGATGTGGAGTTTACTTATTGTTATACGTTGATGATACACTTAAAACTAGTGCAAGTAGGACTGAAATCTTAAGACTCAAAAATCTTTTAAAATCGGAATTTGATATGAATGATTTAGGTAATGACAAAAAGATTTTAGGAATGGTTATTAAGAGGGATAAATCTGAGAATAAATTAACACTCGTTCAACAATCTTATCTGGATAAAGTTGTAACTAAATTTGGCATGAAAGAATCTAAATATGTAAATCTTCCTTTGGCTGCTTATAAGAATCTATCAACTAGGCATTCCCCAAAAACACAAGAGGAAATTAAGGTAATGAAAAACATCCCATATGCTAATGCTATAGGATCTATTACTCTATGATAACCACCAAACTTAATCTTGCTTATGTAATTAGTTTTTTAAGTAGATTTATGTCCTACACAGGGAAACCACAATGGGCAAGATTAAAGTGGCTGCTAAGATACATTGATGGGACATTAAATCTGGGATTAATGTATAAAAAGGATCAAATAATTTGACTTTAAAAGGATACGTAGATGCTGACTTTGCTGGTGATAAAGATCAAAGAAAATCTACTACGTCCTTTTTTTATACTAGATGACAATTGTATGACATGGAAATCTTAATTACAATCTATAGTAACTTTGTCAAGTACAAAAGCTAAATATATTGCTATAATTGAGGCTGTAAAAGAATGCATCTAGTTAAAAGAAATTTTAAAAGAATTAAACTTCCTGCATGACACTCCCGTGTTATTACTTTGTAAAAATCTTATGTATCAAGAAAGGTCCAAACATATTGAGGTGACGTATCACTTCAATAAAGAAAAACTGTCTGAAGGTAAAGTTAATCTAATTAAGATTCATACAGATAAAAATTCATCAGACAGGGAACTAAAGTTGTATCTATAAGTAAGTTTAAGACATGTTTATCCTTACTGAATATTGATACAGGTTAATTCATTTGTAGGTACATGGGAAATGATGTAGGATTAGTCAATTAAGCACACTTAAGCAACCAAAGAGAGTTAGATTTTGTGAGAACCAAGGTGAAGAATGTAAAGTGTCAATTGTGTTTCTAAAAAATGTAACTCATTTAATCTGCTAATCTGGTTGGAAGGCCACATGGCAACCCCGAATTGGCTCTAATGTGTATACTTAGACTGTGCTTTTTTGTGAGGATGCTGGATCATTGGATTCAACATATGGTTGAGATTAATCTACCCTACTATGAGACTCTTGTGGAGCTAGACGATTGAGGTCACTTCAATTTTTCTTAGTCTCTAGATTTTTCGGGGCTCTTTTTTTTGGACTCTCAATCTTCTTCTGATTTTTTCGATCTTTGATTTCTTATGGGTTGTCTAGCCAAAATATTGGTTGAATATGTGTGATTCATGTTGCTACAGTAATCAGGCCTGAAAAATAGTGGCTGATTTGGTGTTTGTAGTGGTTGCTAGAAAGTCTGGTTTGTGTTTTTGGTTAGGTCTTGATATTTAAGAGAGTCATGTGTGGATCGATGACTATTTCTTAGTCTGATTGAGTTTTCCAAAACTATACTCTATTTTTGGACGGTTTTCGTGAGCTTAGTAATTGGCTAATCTCTGAGCTCCCTAGATTAGACAATTGTTGAACTGGATGAACAATTTTGTGGTATTCTTTTACATTTTCTTGCACTGTGATTGTCTTATTTTGCTGTCTTTATTAATTGTGTGAGAAAAGAACCCTATCACCAGGGGCAGATATAGGCACTACAGCCCATGCTCATCCTAGCCCAAATCCATTGAATATATATATATATATATATATAATTTTTTTTATATAGAGCCCAGTCCATTTAAAGTAGCCCATTTCCAAAATAAAAAAAGCCTCCAAAACTAAACTCTCTTTTTTTTGGACAGTTTTCGTAAGCTTAGTAATCGACTAATCTCTGAGCTCCCTAGATTGGACGATTGTTGAACTGGATGAATAATTTTGTGGTGTTCTTTTACATTTTCTTGCACTGTAGTTGTCTTATTTTGCTGTCTTTATTAATTGTGTGAGAAAAAAACCATATCACCTAAAAAAAAAAAAAACCTACCCACGACCTAGACGCAACCCCCATCAGATCCCCCTCTCTCTATCCCTCACTCTCTGACAAAGGCAGCCCCCATCTCCTCCCTCTCTCTCACTCGTCTCTCTCTATCCCTTATTTTCTCTTTTTCGTCGTCCCTGCCGCTCAACACTCTTCTCGATCTGCACAACGTCGTGACTATATTGATTGACGATGTTAGACAAATATTGTGGGTGTGATTTGTGGTTCGTGATTGGGTGTCGATGAAGCAGTATTTGTGAGGCAGATCCACCATCTCACTCTGGTGGCTTTTCTCATGTGATGGTGTTTTTGTATGGTGGAGATGTTGTGATGGTGGCTATGGTGTTTTGTCTGGTTTTGTATGGTGGTGGTGATGGTGTTTGTGAGGTGGTCGCTTTGGGTGGTGTTATGTGGTGGCGGTGTTGGGTAGTGTTTATGTGGTGGTGATTTTGGGTGGTGTTTTGTATGATGACGACTTTTATAGCGGTGGCGGCTGTGGTGGTGGATCTAGCGGTTGCAGTGCGGTGGTGGTATAGGGCGAAGAGTAGTGCCTCAGCGCTGCTGTTCATGCAGCACTCGGTGCGATGGTGGTGGTGTTACTATTTGTGTTATAATGGTGGTGATGTCGATGGTAGTGGGTGGGGGCGATGGTGAGATGTTGGCGGCTGTGATCTATTGAGGTGGATATGTTGATTCGTTTGACGGTGGTGTTGTTGACGGGTGGTGGTGGTGGCGGTTCTGCCTTGATGGTGGCGGTGGTCGTCGCAAATGTTAATGGTGGTCACAGATTATTTGATTGAATGTGACCAGCGAAATAGTTAATCTGTGACTAATAAACAATATGTGACCAATGAAAAAAAAATTGTGACCAAGAAATATTATGTGATCTAAAAAATTAATAATTTGTGATTGTCTTTTGAGTTGTGACCTATAATATTTGTGATCTGTGACTTATAAATTTTTGATTCGTGACCCATAAAATTTTTGATTTGTGATCGAGAAATAAGTTGTGACTAATAATTTGATAAGTTGTGACTAAAAATTAATCGTGACTCGTAAATTTTTTGATTTGTAACCGATGAACGAGATGTGACCTACAAAATTTTTGAATTGTGATCGTAAAAGAATTTGTGACAAAATTTTTTATTCGTGACCAAAAAATAATAAGTGACTAATTAAATTGTTAATTTGCGATCAAATTAGATGTGACCAATAACAATTTTGATTTCATGACCTATAAAATTTTTGATTCGTGATAAAAAATAATGTGACCTATAAAATTTGTGTTTGTGACTTATAATTAATTGAGTTGTGACCGAAAAATTAATCTGTAACCTATAAATTTTTTGATTTGTGATCGAAAAATAATATGTAACCTATGAAATTTGTGTTTGTGACTTATAATTTATTGAATTGTGATCGAAAAATTAATCTGTGATCTATAAAATTTTTGATTCGTGATCGAAAAATAATATGTGACCTATAAAATTTTTAATTTGTGATCGAAAAATAATATGTGACCTATAAAATTTTTAATTTGTGATCGAAAAATAAGTTGTGACCAATAATATGATAAGTCGTGATTGAAAATTAATCCGTGACTAATTATTTTTGGATTTGTGACCAATAAAAAAACTGTGACTTACAAAATTTTTGAAATGTGATCGTAAAAAAATTTGTGACATAAAATTTTTAATTTGTGACCAAAAAATAATAAGTAACTAATTATATTGTTAATTTGTGACCAAATTGTATGGATCTGTGACCTAAATATATTTAATTAATAAAATAATTAATTAACTAATTAAATTATAAATAATTTTTAATAAAAATCTGATTTTAGAAATTTGAAACTTGTTTTCTTGTTTTTGAAATGTGCCATAATTAATTTCTTAGTTATGAAATTTTTCAAAAAATGAATGTCTTGGTCCAAATCCCCAATCTAGTCCTAAAACCTCGTCCAAATCTAATCCGTCTCCTTACCATTATCTGTTCTTATCGCTGGCTGTAAATCCAATTTTCCTCAATCTCCAAGTCCAACCCATAAATGAAAATTCCATTGCTAATCGTTTCCCTTCTTCGTTTGTCTCTTCTCCATTGTTCCAAGGTGAAGGTATTAAGTTCATTTTATTTTTAATATCTCCAAAAATCTTGTTCAGATTTTCAATTTGGTCCCCAGCCCTCCGTTCATTCAATAATGTCTTGTTTTTCTTTAAAATTTCAGGGTGTGGTGCTGATGATGTTTTGTATAAAGAGCTATGGAAGGCTTGTGCAGGTCCATTGGTGGATGTTTCAAAGAATGGAGAGAGTTTATTATTTTCCTCAATGTCACATGGAACAAGTAAGTAATCTTTTCATTTTCAAAAAATTTTTCCTTGCTCTTATGGAGTGATATTTTATAAAGACTCGGGTTTGGTTAGTTGGAGGCATCTACAAATCAGGAACTGAGTCTGAATAAGAGGATGACAATGTTCAGGTTACTTTCAAAGATCCTATGTTGTGTTTCTATTATTTAAGAAATTAGATTTCTTAGGCTAATTTGTCTTTCACAAGGGCCACTGCTCACTTGGTCAGGAAGTTTAAAACTATAAAGATTAAAAGAATAATGCTAGTGGTACACCATGGTGTACAAAATGGACACACGGCACCTCGGTATTGGCCGAGGTGCCGGTGGGCCTCGACAGTCGAGGTGCCGTGTGTCCATTTTGGACACCATGTTGGATACCATGGTGTACCACAAGCATAACCCAAGTTAAAAAGTGTGGTGGGAAAAGATTTAAGAAGCTAGGATTGGGTTGAATCTCATAAAGCTATACATTATACAATGGGTGCAATTTCTCATTTATAACTTATACATTTGGGAAAGCAATACATTATACATATTTGCATTGAATAGTTTCCTAAATTTGTGTTTCATCTTTTGTAGCACGCTTGGAGACACGTGCAACATGAAGGAAAAAGTTGAATATATTTCCCTTTCCCTAGTAATTGTGTCATCTCACTACTTGTTGCTCTGTCAGCAAAAAATTGAAATGGAATATTGTTGCCTTGTCGGCTTAATGAGTTTTGGTGTTGTTTTGTCGACTTAATGAATTGCTGCTATTGTTATTGGCTTTGAATTTTAGCCTACGTGTTCAAAATTCTTGGATCTGCCCTTACCTTTCACAAAGTTTACACATTAATTTTCAAAGGTACGACTTGTGTCACCTAACCTTCAAGAGGAAATGAAAAGCATTAAGCAAGGTTCGGAAAACTCACATGGAAATTGAGTTTTCACGTTAAGCCGACAGTATTGGAAGAAAAATAGTTGTGGGGTATTTCAAGAAAAAAAATGTCATTTTCTTGATTCAATAGCTACCTTATTGCGTAGACTACGGATTAAGCATTCCCAACAAACCGCCCATTAATTGTATGCTTGCGTTGGTGGGTGTGTACAGATTTCAGGTGTCGTTCCTATCTTGCCGTCGGCATGATTAATTACTCGATAAAAATGTGTAAGATCGAAAAACGCTTTCAGATTGTACTTTATTCAAATAAATTTGACACTAATACTCAAAGATGCACATTTTTTTTTTAAAAGATCCTTCTTATTTATTCTCTTTTTCAATTGATTTATTATTTTCTTATATAGAAATGATTCAATAAATATAAATAGAATAATTTTTAGTACATATATGGAAAATAGTATGATAATTAGGGCAATGCTGGACGAACAGGACCATGTGACCCTATTCATTTAAGGCGTTGAAATGGCGTCCCCTCCAATAGGGGGGGGGGGCGCTTGTGGGCCCGACGCTTCCTCTAATAGAGGGCTGTCAATTAGGCCCGCTGTTTGGACAAGGCCTAGATGGTGGTGAATGGAATCTCTGGCCTCTTGGAGATTTGGGAAAAGAAATTCTAACAATTTTGGCGAGATTTAAATCACTATATTTTGTGTTTGAAAAAATTTCGTTGTTAAATTAAGCTCCCACTGATTCGCTGAACAGGAATTTGTACGGTCACTTTTTACATGTAGCCCCAAAAATACAATAAGTAATAAATAAAAGTAACTTTTAATAAAATGAACCAGTAAAACTAATTTACGGTAGACTTCAGAAAAAAATAAAATAAAATCGGTGAATCCAACTATTCCTCGTGACATTTTTCTATTTGTGAAGTTAGCAAGAAAATGAAATGAAATTGATGATAAGAATACAATTAAAATTGATCCAAGAAAGAAGAATGAATCATGTCGGGAGAGGAGATGAAATTGGCCGAAATGAACATGAAATAAGAGTGTGAAACGCGACTAGTGCATATGATAATAATTGTTTGAAAAAGACCTTATGCTTGAATTTTTAGGTGACTAAATGTATTTTTGAAACTTCAAATGTATATTTTTAGAGGAAACAATACAACCCTTTAAATAAAAATTTTCTTTGACGAATTAAGAGGGACTAAAGGGGAGGCTTGGATGAGATTTTAGAGAATAACGAGGGAAATACAAAGACGAAGAAGAAGATTTTAAATAACATTCAAGTTGAGAAGAAAGCCCAAGCTCAATTTCACTATGGAATTCATTTTTAAGGAGGCTTCCCCAAATGTTTACTATCTTTCCCTTTAATTTCAACAATTTGGTGATGTATTTCCTAAACCTTTGTAATCCAATGTCACAATTTTCACGTGATTGATTGTCTTACTAATTTATATAGAGATATAGTAAGTTAATGCGACTCATATGTGTTAATCTCAAACTCGAGAAGTAATTAACCGCTTCAAGGGAATTAGGTTGATCAATTCAAAATAGGCATGATATGTTATAATGCAAACTACGGTGTAAAATAAATGAAAGCGGAATACACAACACTTAAATCATTAGATTTTCCTTAAATATTGCTTTTACTTGTTTTAATTGTTTTACCTCATTTCATTTTAGAATTTTAATCAAATTCAATCAATTTGTTTCTATGGCTTTTGAATCGAGCTGGTTTATAGTTTACTTGATTAAAAATAAAACAATTCTCGTGAGATCAACACTTTTCATCACTTTATTATTTGCTTACAATACCATATACTCGTGGGATCATAGTCATATAACAGAGTGCAATTAAATAAAGATTGTTGCGTAAATACCATTAATTCTCTTCTATAAACACAAGAGAAGCATGGACATTTTTGAGGAATGAAAAATATATCATTGAGAATGGAACAATGTTATTCGGTACCACTGTTGCTTAGTATAGAGCCTTCAATTGATTGATCGAACATTCTAAATATAACTAATATTCCACACGGAGCATCGGAGGTTCGAATCCCCGCGACAGTTGGAGGGCAACATATATGTTGGAAGGCATTTGTTCTGTTAAGGTAAAATTATGGTGCGTTTTGTCGCCCCTCCGAGGATCCTATCCGCACGTCGTAAAGGAAGGTCTATAGGGAGGAAAACTGTATCTCGAATGTCCGGCCTAAGTGTTTATAAGTTGTGTTCGCATCCGAATTTAACTGGATGGCAAACCAGGGGGACGGCCCCCACTGCTCAAGATTAGTCAGACGAAACTTGAACACCTAAGTTATAAAAATATATATATATATATTTCTTTTTTTATATAAAGTCCAATTATTTAAGGACATTTAACCTTTGATTGAGCCTCATTTTTGGGAAATTTTTTTATATTATTATTATTATTTTTTATTTTAGAATGTGTGATCAAAAAGTAAGAAAAAATTTTGGATTTACATGTAAAGTTATTTTATCAAAAGGATGTGTGATTAAAAATAAGTTTAAGGAAAAATGAATTTTTAGACAATGAGACTCAAAATGTCAAACATAGAATTAAGTAGCTGGACTCGTGTTTAGCACCATTAAAATTAAATAACATTACTTTTAGGGATTACTGATTTTGATAAGTGACAAATATAAAATAATTTTTTATTAAATTTCGGTACTAAACCAATGAATTCTTCAATGTTTATTCATTTCTAAACTCTTGCATATCTAACTAACAAATTTAAATTATTAGAATTATTCCCAAAGCATTATCAAATATTTCTTACCTACTAACCAACTTGTGTGTCAAAGTTAGGTGTTTTCTCCGTTTAAACACAGCCACCCTGGCCAGTTTGAAAAACTCACAAAGTCAAACCTCTGGCTCTCATCGTTTTTCTTTCTCTTGAAACCTAGCTGTAGCGGTTGTCTACCATTATTCAATAAAAATGAATTTTAAAATAATAAATTTTAGAAAAATATGCGATTAAAAAATAGAAAAAACATCTTAAATTTACGTACAAAATATTTTATTTTGAGAATGCGTGGTTAAAAATGAGTTTAAAAAAAAAAGTTCCGAATAATGGTAGACAAATATGGACGTAGTGATTTCATTCTTAAATATATTATATTATATAATAGAAAAAATATGTAAAATATAATAATTGGTTATTTGTTATGAAAGTACATTTTTACTTTCAAAATATTCGATATTTTAATTTATTTTTAAAATTAATTTATTTAATAGTTTAATATTAATGATTACTATTTAAAGTCGTGTGAATTGAACACTGACCCAAGAAGTTAATTGAAGGCCCAGAAGGCAGATCACAGTTGACTTTAGATTTTGTATACGGACAAGTATAAAATTCCTAGCAAATGCTGACGTTAATAACAAGAAAAAGCACGGAGATTTAGTCAAATTTTCACTTCCATTTGCAGAAATATTTTCGTATAAATTGATTCGTAAGGGGTTACGACATTCAATTGCATTTTGATCTTCTTCGATTTCTACGGTAAATGCTCGCCTTTTTATTCCGATCTTGGCTTTTTCTTTACACTTGTTTTATTTATTTAACAATTGAATACATACGAATTCAGATGGGTTTGATTTAATTGTTTTATGTTTAGGAACTGACAATTTTATTTATTTATTTATTTTTTTTTTTGTCCTGTCTAATTTGATGGGATGATAATAATTATCTTTAGGGTTTTGATTATTCAAGTTAATTGCATTTATATAATTGTACAGCAACGGCTGTAAGATCTTTCTCCATCCTTTAATCTGTGCTTTTTGTTTGTCATAGCAAAATTAATTAATCATTTTAATTTAATCTATACTTGTTTCTAATAGTTTCTAAATGAATAAATGGTAAATCTTGTTTACCATTATTGTGTTTTAGGATTTTTATTGATTTTATGGGAATTTAGGTCACTCAAATTCAGAGATTTGAACTATTTTACACTGGATGATGGATAGAATTGAATTTTTATTTTCTATCTTGGGGTAAAATTGTTAATGGTTCGTGCATAAAGAGATCTTCATTTGTAAAAGTGATTATTGATCTTTATTAAGAGTTGAGGTTTCATCTTTATTCGACGTGGGATTTATCTCTTAATAGATCTTCTGCTCACAATCTAATTCCAGGTTCTCTATAATTTGGAGTTTGGATTTGAACAAATGTCGACTGAGGCTCAAGATTCAATACCAGAAAGCTCATCATCCTTGGGAATTTGCAGCGATGAAGCTGGTGATTTTGAATGCAATATATGCTTTGATTTAGCGACAGACCCTATAATCACCCTCTGTGGTCATCTCTATTGTTGGCCTTGTCTCTGTAAATGGCTACGGCTTCATTCCCGATCCCCCCGAGGATGCCCGGTTTGTAAGGCCATAATTCAAGAGGAAAAGTTGATTCCTCTATATGGCCGAGGGAAGATTCCAACGGACCCCAGATCAAAACCCGTTCCTGGCATCGAAATCCCTAATCGAAGAGAACCTGCTCAGTTCCCAGAAGGGACTAATCTCTCTAATTTTGTATCTGGATTTATACCAACATTTGGTAACTATGGAATGTCTGCTGGCTTTGGTGGCGCGAATTTCAGCTTCCAGGTTCATGGATTTTCGAATGCTGGTGGATATGGCTCCTCCCGAGGATATTCTCGTCCATTTCGTGGTGCTGAAGGCAACCTCGACGGTCAACAGGCAGATGGCATTCTTAAGAGGGTTCATTTTGTTTTTTTTATTCTTGTGCTCTTTGCTTTATTTCTATTGTAGTACCAAAAAAATGGTAATTTTAACGCGTCTTAGTCGTTTATGATCAAATGCCTGTTGTTGAGCATAATGTAATTCTTTAAAACGCTCGTCTGAATATGTTTCGTCCTTGCTTTTTACCAGGGGTGTCTACCGAGTCTTTACTGTATTGCAGGAAGGATACTTCGTTATGTAAACACTATGAAAGCAATGTGCACGCCTGGCTTTGTAACTACGGATAGAATTAGCTTTCTACACAGTTATGTGCACATTTCTATTGTAGATGGCGTGGTTGTGAAGAAGTGGCAAGAATTCAGGCATGTTATCATGTTCGAAGAAAGTAAACTGCACGAGTCACTTAGTCAGTCCATTTTTCAAAATTAAGATGATAAAGCTACCTCAAGTTAAACTGAAAACGAAGGATTAAACTGTTTGAACAGGGATCTTGTACGTGTCGCGCTGGCAGGACCTTTGGGATTCCCCCCCCCCCCCCCCCCCCCCCCCCCCCCCCCCCCCCCCCCC